TTACTAAGCATAAAGCTCAGGATCTGTAAAAAGTATTTTTTCTTACATGTTTGGACTCAAGTTCTTCTTTGAGTTTATAGCACAGTATATCAATTCTAACATCAAAGGTAGGGATGGAAAACTTATGGTTTGTCAATATTGGTGTGAGATGGAATTTATTGAATATTTGAAATTTACTTTTAAAGTATGTTTTCACTTTTTTCCTTAAAAAATAAAAACGTTAGGCCACTAATCTAATACAATTTTTGAAATATAGAAGATTAAATATTTTATTGTAAATTTACTTTCCATTTAAATTTCTCTATAATGAACATGAAAATGACCTAGTTATTAATTACATAATATAAAATTAATATTCTGATAATGAATCTAAGAATACATCTCATGCTTTGAAATAGAGGGTTTGTAACTCCTACTTTACTTACTCATTAGCAGCTACCAAGTTAAATATACTTCAACTTGCTGCAATTAATAAAATAGACAGTTAAGTCATCTGTTAAAGATTTTCACTGTGTATGATTTCAATAAGAATCTTTGCATGGAATTTATCTTCCAATTTTATTTCAGATTTTATATTGACTGTTAAACTGGACTTTTAACTGAATTTTGATGTTTCCAATGATTTATTTGTAATGTTTGCATTTTTATAATTAGGAAACATTTCATAAATATACTAGAGGCCTGGTGCACAAAATTTGTGCATTTGGGTGGGGGTCCCTCAGCCCATCCTGTGCCCTCTTGCAGTCCAGGACCCCTCTGGGGATAGCTAGCAGTCAGACATGCCTCTCACAGTCCAAGACCCCTCGCTTCTTACCGCCCACCTGCTTGCTTTCACCACTGCTGCTGTACTTGCCAACTGTGAGCCCAGCTTCTGGCTGAGCGGCTCTCCCCTTGTGGGAGCACACTAACCATGAGCATCTGCCCCCGGTGGTCAGTGTGCATCATAGTGACCTGTCATTCCAGCTGTTCTGCTATAATGGTTGCTTAGGCTTTTATTATATAGATGAAACTACCTGACAGTCAATGTGACCCCTGAGGGGTCCCAGATTGTGAGAGGGTGCAGGCCAGGCCAAGGGATCCCACCGGTGCACAATCGGGGTTGGGAAGGGACACAGGAGGTTGGCCAGCTGGGGAAGGACCACGGGAGGGCTCCAGGGCATGTCTGGCTCATCTCACTCAGTCATGATCAGCCAGACCCCAGCAGCAAGCTAACCTACTGGTTGGAGCATCTGCCCCCCGGTGGTCAGGGCACGTCATAGTGACTGATGGACTGGTTGACTGTATTCCCCCTTGTGGTCAGTGCACGTCATAGTGAGTGGTTGAGCAGCCTTAGCATATCATTAGCATATTATGTTTTGATTGGTTGAACAGACGACTGGACGACCGGACACTTAGCATATTAGGCTTTTATTATATAGGATGTGATTGTATAGATTTGTCAAATGTGTAAAAAATATTGTAGATTTAGTTAAAGGCTTCATTCAAATTCTTTTTTACTTCTATTCTCCACAAAGAAAAATTACCTTCCTGTTCTGGTGGAAATAATTTCCATAGGTCAAAAATAACCCAAAATGATAAGTCAATGTCAGGGTGCCATTGGATGCACCTTCATTTCCCTCACTGATTTACAAATGCCAGCCCAATAATATATTAAACTCCCATATATATTTTGTCTTGTTTCTGGGTTCTCTATTTCATTATATTGGTCTGTCTAGCCCTTATCTAATCCTCATTCCTCATTTGGGAAATATGCCCAAACTGTTATAGTTTTAGAGAAAGCCTTAATAAGGTGCATCTAATTTAACAACTTTACAAAAAAAAAAAACAGATTATATTTTGTTTTCTCTCCTGCGTGATTGTTTTCTATTTATTTTTGTGTTTATTTAAAAAATTTCCTTATTTTTGTTTTCTTTGTGTTAAATTTGCTGGGCACTTTTTGTAACTTTTTAACATTGCTACTTTGATTATTAAATTTGAGTGTTTCTATTTTCCTAAAACATTCATATATTGCTATAAAGATCATTCTAAAGAAAGCATTAGCTACCTCACAGGTTGTAATATGTTGTACTTTCATTATCATTCAGTTTCAAATATTTTATAATTTTTGTGTAATATATTTTTTACTTATTGACTATTTAGAAGTATATTTTTCCAAAATATGTGGGGATTTCCTAGTTATCTTCCTATTAAAACTATAAAACTAATTTATAGCTTAATTCCATGTTTTGGGGGAATATGCTGTGACTTTGATTCTTTGCAATGTTTAAGACTTTCTCTATAGCTTAGCATGAAGTCAATTTCTACGCATGCTCCTGGATCACTTGAAAAGCATGCAAAGTTTTCAGTATAGCATCGTATATGTGTAAATTAGATTGACGTTTTGTTCAAACTTTCTATATCATTACTGACATTAGGTCTACTTACTCTTTCAACTGCTGATGGAGATCTGTTAAAATCTTTCATTAAAATTTTTGATTTTAGTTCTATCAACTTTTTTCCCAATAAACTAAGGCTATAATTTTTAGTACATAGAAATTTATAAGTATAACATCTTCATGATGGATTGATCTTTCTATAATTTTAAAATATTGTTCTTTAACTCTAGTAACTTTTAAACTGTCTACTTTGTTTAATATTATGTCAATATACTAGCTTAACTTTGTATTCATTTCCATTCAAATTTTAGTCTTTTGTGTCCTTATATGTATGGTGTTTCAACTACAAGTGATGTTTTTAAAAATCTGGTCTGACAATCTTTGTCTCTTTTAATTGGATAGTGTACTGCATTTACATGTAACTGATTTTGCTACATTCTATTATTTCTTTAGACTTGTTCCCCGCCCCCCATCATGCCACCCTTCATTGTGAGCTGGGTATACATACTGCTTTATTGACGTTAGCTCTCTCCATTTGTCTTTGATCATTGGGATGTACGTAAAATGATATCTCCCTTCTTCCCACCTGCTTTCTGTCATGGGAACATCATACCCCAGGTAATATTGCTCTTTCAGTGTGAGTCCCAGAATAAGGAGACAGGAGAGGCAAACCAGAGCCCAGCCAACACACAGCCTGAGCTCAGTCTATGCTCCAGTTGCTAATGGGCTGCAGGAGCAAGACATAGATATGTTTGCAAGCCATGGAGATTCTGAGGTTGTTTTTGTCTTTATATAGTCTAATCAAAGTTAATTAAGTTTAAAAATGGCACCATAAATGTGGTGTTGCTATCGAAAAACGTAAAACATGTGTCATTGGCTCTTGGGTGGAGAAAACTGTTACAGACTGAAAAATAAAGGACAACTCATGTTATGCGGTGTGAAAAAATTTGGTAAGATTATCACCTGTGATTACTTGGGAATAAGACCAGTTACTTAATAAACCTATGACTTGGTTAAGTTGTTAGTAAGAGAGAATATTAATCACTTTCATTGGATACTTTTAGCTGTATTTCTTAAGTTACTGTAAGTCAGAAATATGCTCAAAAAAAGAATTGGTGTATTTGCTAGCAAGCATGAAAGAGAAAGAAGAGAATTCAGACATTCTTTGTACTCATCTGTTTATCCGCCCTTGGTGAGGTTACCTATCACAGACTAGAAAAGCCCTGGCTTTGGAATCACATATACCTATTTTCACCTCCCTATTCAGACACTTGTTGGAAATACAATGTGCTCTTATCAGTTAAGAAAGGGTGATTTAACTCAGGTTATAAGCAACTCCAAAGTATCAGTAGCTTAAAAGACCAAAGTTTATTTCTTATTTATGCTGCATATCCAACATGGGTGAACTGAAACTCTACTGGTCATGGTCCCATCACATTCTTTCAGACTGATGGAGTTTCCAGTTCGCCATATGCTTCCATTTGGTAGAAAAAAGGGAACATACAAATATATAAACATCAAGTTAACTTTAAGAAAACAAATAGACCAGTATGAGCTAAAGGCTCTCAGACATGGTGAAGAAAGGCAGCCCGGCCCTGCTTTCTTAGAGCCCATGTGAATATTCTAATAGAACTTAACAGGCATGCTAAATTTTGAAGAAGATTCTTAGTACCCAGCTACAGTGACATATAATCCGTTTAAATATTTGTGTATCATTTATGTTTACGTCTTAATACTTATTAAATCCACGTATGTTTACTAATCATCTTTTTCACTCATCTAATGGTGATTTAGGCACCAGGCACTGCTGAGACATTAAAGGGATGATAAATGAGGCATAGTCTCTGACTTCAGTCAGTTTATCATCTATAGAGGACCTATTGCAATAGCATGAGCCACAACATGCTAAGTCACACACACACACACACACACACACACACGCACACACACACGCGCACACACACACGCGCACACACGCGCACACGTTCTAAGCAGCTCTGAAAGAGCTCGGCTAGAGGAAGGTTTATTTATCCTAATGGTGGTGTTTTGCTCTTTGTTTTGTTTTGTTTTCACCTGAAGATTGTATTTTGAGTTTTATGACAACTTCATCCTGATTTATTCTTAACTGAAAGCTCTAAACTATAATTAATAACTAATAGTTACAAAGCACTTTGTATTGATGGCCTTATTTAACTGTAACACAGAGCCTTTTAGGTATTATTATCTTGTGTTACCTATGAGAAAACTGAGGCCAAAAGGTTAAGAAATTTCCCTAAGTTTCAAAGCTAAACAGAAGGAGATCTGGGATTGGAAGCCAAACAGATTTAATCTAAAGCCACGTGTTGTTGGTTTTTTACCGTTATGCTCTGTAACTTTGTGTTTTGTTTTGTTTTATTTAAGTCTGAAAGGTTAATTTCCACTTCTAGTTTTAAGTTCTAACCTGTTGCCTTTTCTGATTTTCATTTGTCCTTCAGGTTCAGAAATTCTAGAAAACTCCCCTTAAAACATAGTCACATTTTACCTTTTTAAAAATGTAACTAGCTCTCAGCCGTGGTAGAGAACATGCTTTTTGATCTAAGTATCTCTCTTTTCCTCTCTTTCTAATATCATTTATTTTTCCCCTAGGTCTCTACAGAAGAAGGCTTGGGTCTGGCCCGAGAATATAACTGTGCTTTTTTTGAGACCTCTGCAGCCCTCCGATTCTGCATTGATGATGCCTTTCATGGTTTAGTGAGGGAAATTCGCAAGAAGGAGTCGGTGCCATCCCTGACGGGAAAGAAACTAAAGAGGAAAGACAGCCTGTGGAAGAAGTTAAAGGGCTCACTGAAGAAGAAGAGAGAAAACCTGGCATGCTAGCCTCACTTCTAACTCCCTCTCTTTCTGAATTTTATCAGTTGGACAATTCCAGATGTTTCATTCTGCTTTAATTCTCTCTCTCTCTCCCTCTCTCACTCTCCCTCTCTTACTCTCGCTCATATCTGCCTGTAGGTAAAAGCAAGATCTGCATAACTGTACCTCTTGAGATAGTTTTGTTTTGCCCTTAACAGTTGGATGAGTTTTGTCAATCAGTTGGATATGCTGTTTAGTTTTTATAATATATGACTAAATAAAATTGACATTCCAATTGACTCATTTCCCTTCAAAGAGTTGAGCTTCATTTGGTATGCTGTCTGGTTATAGAGGGAATATTCAAAACTGCAGACAGAATGATAAAAGGCTCAGGGGACCTGCCTCTGCCTGATAAGCCTCTGGTTGTTTGCATTCCAGGAATGTCAGAAAATAATGAGGCAGCTCAGGAAAGGATTCAGAGCAGGCGTCTGCAGCCTGGCACTTCCTAAATGCGGAAGTTGTGGTGCTTTCTCTGGAAGGCTCCATAGATGACCCTCAGAGGAAAAATTAATAACAGAAACTGGTCGAGGATCACTGGAAGACTGAAGTGAAATATCCCATTTACAATGCTCTGCCCTGGAAGGTTTTGGGAAAATTATCAGTGAAGTCACTGGGCTGAGGCAAAGGGGTATCCTCTTTGTATTAAGGAGAGAGGGTACTATGAATTGGGTGGTTCATGTACTCATAAAAGGACACCCTACTTGTGTCCCTCTTAGGGTTGCCTCACCTGTGGTGGGGACATCTGCAGAGCAAGAGGCTTGTTAGCTCCAGAGACCCTAAATTCTCTTTATTTTGCCCAAATTTCTGATCTTGTCCTACTCAAACCATACACCACCACCAATCAGAGGGCCTTTTTTCTTGTTTGTTTTACAAAGGATCATTAAGTAAAATGAAATTGCCCATTAACTCTTTTACCCCATTGTGTGAATTGGCTTATTCAAATTTAGCTCAGAAAGCACCCTATCAGAAAGAACTACATTTTTGAAAACCCAATGACTGCCCTATCTATGAATAATAATAGTGGCTGGTATGTTTCCTAACACAACTAAGTCTTTGTAAATTTTAATGTCAGCTTCCCTGCCTTTAGCTCTAGAGATCTGAATCTCATTTCTACCTTTCCCCTTCCTTCTCTTTCTTTATTCTTCTCAATCTTTAATGAATAATGTATGTAGTTTAGAAATTCTTAGCGAGATTTAGATTGGGGAACAGTTACCAAGTCCCACCATTTCATTCTATAGAAGGAAGGAGGTCTGTAAATTATCACTCAAGGGACAGCAAGAATTTGAGAAAGTTGTCAGTAGCAGAGATAGAAGCAGACTTCAAGCATTGTTTTAAATCAGTCTTCTTTCTGGAAGTCTGGGCCAGAGAAAATGTGCCAGAAAAATAGAACCTAGTATTTCTGGCCAAGGACTATTGACTCATTCTCTTTGGCATCAGACCAAAATGCCAGAATCTCATTTCTGATCACTCTTTCTGAAGACTTCTGACCAGACCTAGGATATCTACGTCAATCTCAAACTTTCAGAGAAGAGAACCACAGTATGCATTGCCATGAGATTGTCAAGAAACTGTTGAAAATAAGAATAAGGGTCCATGGTGGACAAATGTGTAGTCACCTAACACAATTTATCGAATAGTACTGTTCTAGAAAACACACTTGTGCATAGGTGAGATGTGTGTGTGTGTGTGTGTGTGTGTGTGTGTGTGTGTGTGTGTGTGTGTGTTTGGTGAGACAGCAGGCAATTCTGAATATAATTTCTGCTCTCCAGAACTGTATCATCTATCTATTTTTTATTAAATTTATTGGGCAACATTGGTTAATAGGATCATATAGGTTTCAGGTATAGATTTCTATGATATAATATCTGTATATGACACTGTGTGCTCACCACCCAACATTAAGTCTTCTTCCATCACCATATATTAGGCTCCTCTATCTATTTTCCACTATTTTTCATTAACTTATTTGTGTTTCCCCATGATAAAATAATTTATCAGATCAGAGACAAATGTCAGTCTAAAATATTACATTTTGTATTTAGTGGGCAACAGTTGAGGTTGGAAATTTCTGTAGAAAATGCCAGTGAGAAGGAAACATGGGCAATTAGGCCAAACATTATTCACTTCACACTCAGATGTGCAAGAAATAGATGGCTGCTTTATTTCTCTATAACTCATCTGTTCTTTCTCATGAGTCTCTGACTAATGGATAGATGGGGGCAGAGGGGACCAAATTTTAGTTCAGTCCAGTAATTTAGTGCTAATCTGAAGCAAAAATATAAGAAATATCTTTAAATAACACAACCTCTGTTGGGTACACTTAGGTCAGTGTTTGATCAGCCAACGTTTTGCCTTGTTTATTCTTCTTTCTAAAATTGCATCTGGGTAAAAGGGGAAGGCATGGCTCATGTGACCTCATGGCAGTAGAGTCCCCATCTCTCATCTTCTAATTTCTATAGTATCTTCTGCATTCTCTTTGATCTTTTTAACCAAGGGTCTGGCCTGATTTTTAAAACATTTTATTTTATTCTCATAAGAACACTTAACGTGAGATCTACCCTCTTGACAAACTTTTTTAGTTTAGAATACATTAATGCTGACTAGAGGTACAATGTTGTGCATCACATCCCTAGAGCTAATTCATCTTGCTTGAAACTTTATGCCTCTCGATTAGTAACTTGCCATTTCTCCCTCCTCCCAGCCCCTGGCAACCACTTGATTCTATTTACCAGATTGGTTGACTCTAAGGTATGTTGGATAGAGATGAGTGGGGCCACGATTAATAGGCACTTTCTCCTGGAGTCCATGAACTTCCCCTTTGCCTTAGGGTCTCAGGCCCTTCCCAACAAAGCCTCTTTATTCTGACCCTACGTCTCTGCCAGTCCACCTCTGCCAGTACCTCTGCCGCCCCTGGGGATCCCTTGCATGTCACACACAGGCCATGGGATCTGCGCTGGTGGGATTAAAAAGAGGATCCTGCTGTGGAATCCATTTGCTTTATTAGTGGCTCTCTTCCACAAGGTTATATGCTTTTCCTTTCTCCAAGTAGTCCTGCAACAACATACTGGCATCCAACATAAACAAGGGGACAGAATTCAGTGATCAAAGATGAAAAATGATTTTTTTTTTGTTTTACATGGCATCTGTTCTTCTGCTGAAGGACCAAAACACATTGCTTCAAAGGATGGAAACTCCATATAAATAAAACTAAATATATTTGAGAAGATAGAAAAATCCATAGGTCAAAAAAATTTAAGAAAGGGGAATATATATAAAATATTTCAAAACAATGAGCCTTGTTACACATGCATAATCTAAAACTAAGTCTTCTGAAGCTTTATAGAAATTAAGGTTGTAGTCTTTTTGGTTTGGGTCTTTATATGATATTAAGAGATACTCTAAAATCTACCTGTCCTAAATCCTCTACTGTCAGCTTGCATGTGAGCAGCTCTACATGGCCTGACTTTTTCCCATTCAAGTTTCTATTTGGGATGAAATGGCAAAAGTCATTCTTTCAGACCATCTATCTACTATTAAACTTAAGCCCAAAAATTAGAAAATGTAACTATCTCAATAAAATGTAAACGACATAAATATCTACTTGCCACTTTTGAAAGCAGGGTGGAGGGGCCTGTGGTGAAAGGGAAAAAGAATTTCTATGGGTGAAATAAAGGATCTAGACAATATATAATTTTAAGGTCTACATAGCCTACCATTCCTGGAAACTCTGAACCTACAGGATGGAACAAAGGAACAGGCTACAAGATGAAAGGATTTCTAAAGGAATAAAGGATGCTGAACACCACAGCAGGGTAGGAAACAAGAATGCAACACAAAACTCACATGGATAAACTACATTATTCATCCATGTGCTTCAGTCCAGTTCTGCCTCAAGTACTCCATAACCAGGTGTAGCTATCTCTCTTCAAAACACTGGTGCACATCATTAAATTGTATGGGGGAAAAAAGCACATCAATAAGCTTATGATTTATTCTAATAAAATTCTGGTACAACATTTTTTGTTTTGTTTTAAATATATTTTAATTCATTTCAGAGAAAAAGGGAGGAGAGATAGAAACATTAATTATGAGAGAGAATCATAAATTGACTTCCTCCACACCCCATACTGGGGATAGAGACCACAACCCAGGTATGTTCCCTGACCCTGACTGGGAATCAAACCATTACCGCCTGGTTTAAGGTTGATGCTCAACCACTGAGCCACACCAGCCAGGCTATGGTATAAAGTTTTAATGATAATGTCAGTGTGATTTGTATTGTATTCATTTAAAAAAATCCCACAGTATCTAACCTTTGTATCTTTTTAAAAAGTTAAATTGAATTTTAAATAAATAAAATACTAGTGCTTTAAGCAACCATATAAATCATGATGACCTGGTTCCCTTGAAGAGATGAAGACACGAAGAACAAGAGAAAAAAAAAAATGCCAAGTCTGAGGGGGTCAGTCAGGTCCCCTCATCACCTCTCTGGTCCTCCTCAGTGTCCTTCACTGTCCTTTCTGTGCTGCAATTTGGGCATCATTCAGCTTTCTCTAGAGGTGCAATTACAACCAGCTAATAAATAAAATAAAAATATGGTTCCTGGAATAGATCCATAGTGTCTCTTTAAAATATGATGCCTGTTTACCTCCCTTTCTAGGTTAGGCAAATAGGAAGCTGAAAATAACGCTATTGTAAATCACTCCCTCTAGGGTAGTACATTAGACAAGGGAGCGAGAACATCAATTAAGGAGAGTTTGCCAAAGGTTTTTAATTCATTGCTGGTGAGAAGTGCTGGCCTTACAGCAATTAGAGTGTGTATGTATGTGTAGAAGAGGTAAAGAGAGATATAAATGCACTATCAGCATGCCACCACCCTGGAGATGTCTGAAAATCTCAAAACACATATGAATTATATATATATACTCAAGAGCTTTCTGTTCACATCGTGCTGGAATCATAGACTCTGTGACTTTGGTTCAGTTAAGTCCTTCACCCCTCTGAGCACTAATCGGTTTTCAGATAAATTGGGATGGGTCCAGGAAACAGAAAGATGGGTATTCTTTAAATGGTTTATCTTGATCTTTGGCACAGACTGTATAATTTATTTTATAGAATATCCTCTGGACTTAATAGGTTGTTTAAATAGGTTTACAATA